TAGCACATAAAAACAGAACAATTTTTGTATGTTTATTTTTTATCTTAGAACATTATACTGAATTCCTTTATTAGTTCTAACAGTTTTTCAAAAGTCTTTAGCGTTTTCTATATATATAGATTGTGTTATCTGCTCAGATTGAGATTTTGACTCAAGCTGCATATAATCTATATACATTTGGGGAGAACTAAAATCTTCAAATTTTCTTATCTATGAACATGGGCTGTTGTTCCATCTATTTAGTTTTTAATGACTTTCTGTAAAGTTTTGTAATTTTCTGTATAGGAGTATTACAGATTTTACTCGATCTATTGTTTGCTATTTTGTTTCTTCTGTCAATACTGTAAATGGTGTCTTTTTGAATGATATTTTTAATTGTTTCAAATATAACTGGTTATTCATATATTCAGTTACCTTAGTAAACTCTATTTTAAAAATTGTGATAGAATACCTATGTGTAACATAAAATTGACCATTTCAATAATTTTTAAGTGTATAGTTCAATGACATTAATTACATCTGCACTGTTGTGCAACCATCGTTTCCAGAACTTTTTCTTCTCAAACTGAAATTCTAAAACCATAAAACAACAACTCCCCATTCTCATTTCCCCTGATCTCTGGCAATCACCAGTTTACTTGCTGTCTCTAAGAGTCTGACTACTCTAGGCTCATCATATAAATGGAGTCATACAGTTATTTGCCACTTTGTGCCTGGCTTACTTCACTATGATGTCTGCAAGGTTCATTCTGGCATAGCATGTATCAAAATTTCATTCCTTTTTAAGGTAGAATAATGTTTTATTGCTTGTATAAATGTTTGAGTACTGTGAATGATACTGCTATAAGCATTTCACTGTTTCTATTCAACACAGTGATTCTACATTTAATAGAACCGTGAAAATGGGTGTCCTTTCCTTTGATGTTGAAGGGAATGCTGCTAATATATCTCCTAGACAGGATGTTATAGTCTTTCTGGTGCAATCCCTTTATTAGTTAAAAAAAAAAAAAATCATCCCCAAGCCTTTCCAATTGTATGCTCTTTAACTCATGGTCCATCTTCCATAAAACCAGTATCCTTAACTTTTTCTCTTTCTTTCCTTATAGAACTGGTAACATAGGAGGCAGAGTTGTTATAATCCTTGGCCCTTGCTCTTCTCAATACTGTCTAACTCATTATCCCACCTTCCTCACTAAAATCCTCCAGCTTCTATTAAATTCAAAGCACTAGACCAAAGCTGAATTTTGTGTGATGGTGAAACCTTCTGTCTATGCTGTGCAGTATGACAGCCACTCACCACATGCGGCTACTGAGCACTTGCAATGTGGCTAATATGGCCAAAGGACCGAATTTTTCATTTTCAAAAATTTCAATGACTTAAATTTAATAGCCACATATGGCTAATAGCTACAATATTAGACAAAACTTGTGCTGTAATTTATAGATCTATAAGTCACTGTTTCCCTGTATCTTGACAACTTTAGTAGTTGGAGAAAAAGCCCATGAACCAATATTATCCTTATCATGTATCTTGATGATTGCCATCTTCATGGAGATAATACTGCCAACACCCTGGTTTCTCAGTTTCCTCACTTCTCTTCCTCCAATGATCTTACCTCTCTGCTACTCTAAGCTTCTACCCCCTTTCTCATTGTGAATCTAGTAATCATTTGACTCCACTGGGACTTCTAACTCAGTGACCATATTACCTTTTTGCTATTCTTCATCTCCTTCCTTTCACTTAATTTTCTCATCTACCTATAAAACAGTTCTTATGTTTGCCCTCCTTCATCTCTTGTGCTACCCCTGACTCCTCTGGAATAAACAGGCATAGGAAAACCCCAACTCTGGGTAGACAGCTCTTTGTACTACTGCAAACTGAACACCTCAATACGTAACTCTGCTGACTGGTTTTACTTTAAATTCATGATCAAAATTCTTAAGTGGATCCCACACAAGACCTATCAAATCTATCACGTGCTCCAAGTTAATGCACTCTCACGCTCTCCCAATGACTTTCATTTCCTTTCCTCTTTCTTCAAACCTCGAATATCTCTCCCTCATCACTTTCAAAGCAATCAGAAGAACTACAAATTCCACCACCAAATTTACCCATTTATAGGAATCTGTAATCAAATGCATTCCCTTTCCTTCTGTTAAAATGGATAAATAATGCAAGATAAATAATGCAAGTGAGATCAGACATGGCTCACATCTGTAAACAGAATTTTGGGAGGCCAAGGGGGAAGATCACTTAAGGTCAGGAGTTCAATTCCAGCCTGAATAACCTAAGCCCCCGCACTCCCTAAAAAAAAAAAAAAAAAAGCAAAATTAGCTAGGCAGGGTGGCATGCACTTATAGCGCTAGCTAGTCAAGGGCTGAGGCAGTAGGATTGTTTGAGCACAGAAGTTTGAGGCTGTGAGCTAGGCTGAAGCCATGGCACTGTAGCCCAGGCAACAGAACAATACTCTGTCTCCAAAAAAAAAAGGATAAACTGTAGGGCTATATTAGAGTCCTGGCCCTTCTGTTTCAGGTAATAAAACACATCACCAGTGAAACCCCTCATTCTCTTACCATTTTTCCTTTTCTACAAGATCACTGCCACTAGCTTAAAACATAATGTCATGAATGCCGTCTCCATATACAACAAAATACCACAAATCTTTGGTCTCATCTTCCCTTCCAGCCATTATGAGATTGCTCTGCAGCAACCCACTGCCACCCATTAGGGCAAATTCACTATACCCACTTCTTTGTAATCATTCTGTGAAGTCCAGTTTTTCACCACTATTACACTGAAATCTTTCTTGCCAAGGTCACTGATACTCTCTAACTGCCAAAGTTTGTACCTTATTCAACTTATTAGTGTTATCTGATAAAGGTGACCAATCTTTCTCGAAACAATTCCTTTAATTGAACTGGAAAATTTTGCCCCATAATTTTCTTTGTTGATTCCTTCTCGTTTTTCTGATCTTGGAAGGTCCCAGGGCTTTTCACCTGTGCTTACTCTTTAAGTGAACCCATCTACTTTAAATAATTTATGCTCGTGATTACAAAAATATTGCTCTAGCCCCAACTACTTCTGTAAACTTACATATCTAACTTTGACCTTGCAACTCACAAAGATCTTGTCAGCCTATTCAAACACATTATGTTTCAAATAGAACCCCATTCCGCATGCTCCTTCTCTATACCTGAGTATGAGTAAATAGCATCTTGATTATCAGATTCAATGCCATCTCTTTGAACTTGTTTCCTACCACCCCACTACCTTCCTAGCTTATTCCACTCTGTCAACACTGAACCCTGCTATTCTCTGAACATATCTGGGCCTCTGTACTTGGTATTATCTCTACTTGGAAGTCCTTTCTCTTTGATAACCACATAAATGGTTCCCTTAGTTCCTCCAGGTCGCTACCCAGCTATTACTTATCTCTTAACACACTGTATGAAACAGTACTACCCCACTCTCCTTCCTACCACATTTTTCTTCAGAGCACTTACCACTATTTATAATATGTCATTTATTTATTTCCAATCTCTTTCCCCAGTAGAATGTTAGATGTATTAGACTGGGACTTTGTTGAAATTGTACACAACTGTGTTAACAGACAATTAGAGTCTGACACAGGATAGAATATTTTAAAATTTAATATAGACATCAAAAGTTTTACTCAGATAAATAATGCAAGTGTTACCAAATAAAAATTATTCTTTTCCATGCAAATATATGAGCGAGACAATGAAGATAACTTCCAGGAAAACAAAAATTAACTTGAGGGAAATGTATCTCATCTCTTAACCACAGCATAAATCAGACTACAACTCTTTTCTAAGACTTTAAAGATGGAATTTGTAACTGTATTATCATTTCCATTCTTCCATGAAATTCAAATTTTAAGAGAAAAAGACCATCATTATTAAAAATTATTATTATTATTTTTTTTTTTGAAGTTTTTGGCTGGGGCTGGGTTTGAACCCACCACCTCTGGTATATGGGGCCAGTGCCCTCTCCTTTGAGCCACAGGCACTGCCCTATTAAAAATTATTTTTAAAGTAAGAAAACCCTTCACTCAGGGGAAGGTTCTTCACTCTGTAATACAAATATAACACAAGAAGGATAATAAGCATTTCCACATTAATGTTTTTCCAATATATCTATGCTGGCTTTCATGAGAAACATCTGTCTCTTCAGATATTATGAAAAGCAAAAGCTGCACTTGGTTAATTAAAAACAAAGTTATACTTTAGTAATGAAAATAAGTTTAAAAAAGACAGTCATATTTTTAACATAGGATCTTAAAAACACATTCTCTGTACAAAATGTAATAGACGCTAAACAAAATCATTGTTCTTTAACATTAAAGAACAATACTGGATATAAATAAATGTAATTAAATATAAAATTTTACTTTAATGAAATATTAATTTAAAATCTTGAAATACTGAGTGCAGAATCATGTCAAATATGAAAATACATAGACTTATACAGGTCAAAATTCATACCCTGACATTGTAAAAGTAATTGAATCAAATATAATTAATATAATAATATCAAAATTTCTTATTAACCATCAGACTTTCTATTACTACTAAGGAAAAAAATTTTGTTTTCTGAAGCTTCAACTTTAGATCCTCCTCAACTATCCAAAAACATCATCTTTACAAGATAAAATGTAATTTTTTTGCATTCATACTTTCCCATCAGTTGAATATGAAAAACTGTGTTGTCAAAGATATTTAAAGTGCTTCTAAAAAAATGATTCCCTAATGAGCAGAAGCCAAGTACCAGCTATAATTAATTTACCCAAAAATTACCTTATAAACCTGATGGAATGCTGAAGGAGAGAAAACATAACTTTCAAAGAACAAAACACAAAGGAATTTAAAAGTCCTTATCTATTATCATAATATCAACCTTGCTAAGAACTACAAAAAAAAGTAACACATCATTACTTCCCACAGGAAGTTTAACCTTTCATTAAGAAAGATTTACTCACCGCCCATGTTTTAGTCAACCTGAAAATTGGGGCACTCTGTAAGCCAGAAACCACTGCCATAAGTGCATGAAGGTTATTCAGCTCATACAATTTCTGAAGATTTAAGAAAATGGGGGAGAACCATGAAAAATAAACAACATGAACACAAGAAAAATATAGATTAATAAGTACAATCTAGGTAACTGTAGTGTTTCAGTATTTATTAGGCTCATTGTTGAGGTATGTCTTTATTTTCATTTTTAATTTTTTGTAAGAAGAGTTTCACCATATTGCCCAGGTTGAGGTACAGTGGCATCTTTACAGCTTACTACTACCTCAAATTCTGGGCTCAAAGGATCCTCTCACCTCAGTCTCCTAAGTATCTTGGGATGGAGGGTGTACATTGTTTCTCTTTCTTTGTAGAGACAGGGTCTCACTATGTTGCCCAAGCTGGTCTCAAACTCCTGATCTCAAGTGATCCTCCCACCTCAGCCTCCTTCCTGAAGTGCTAAGATAATAGGTGTGAGCTACCACGCCTACCCAGAAATCTGTCTTTCGACTATCTACTATGGTACAGTAAGTTGTTTTAGGCCCACAACAGAACTGTGATCTCTACTTTGGCACTATCTGTACTCTCTGGGAATAAATACCAGTATTTATCTAGTCAAGAGTTGGCAGAAGGATATGACAAAAATAATGGAGTAAAAGTAATATTTGAGAGAGAACAGCAAAGAATTTTACTGAATTACAGAAAGACACTAATTCCTATAAAAAAGAAGCTCAAGGAATCCCAAGAAGAATAAATATAAAGAAATATAAACTTAGGGGAAAAAAAAAGATACAGAAAAGTACAGAATATCAAACACTAAAAAAAAATCTTAAAAGCAAAATTAAATGAATAGCTTAATAGCACCAAGGAAGCTTGATACTATGAAATTGTATCTGTGGCTAAGGAAAAAAAAAATCTATCAGTCTGGCAGTGCCTGTGGCTCATTGAGTAGGGCGCAGGCCACATAGGCCAAGAGTGGCAGGTTTGAACCCAGCCCCAGCCAAACTGCAACCAACAACAGCCAGGCATTGTGGCGGGCACCTGTAGTCCCAGCTACTCGGGAGGCTGAGGCAAGAGAATTGCCTAAGCCCAGGAGGTGGAGGTTGCTGTGAGCTGTCATACCACAGCACTCTACCGAGGGTGATACTGAGACTCTGTCTCTAAAAAAAAAAAAAAAGAAAAAAAAACACCCTATTTTTTTGATTACAAAGGTGACATAAAATGCTTCCAGAGAAAGATAAAGGAAACTTTAAAAAAGAAAGATATTTTTAAAAACAGTACCAGAATAATTATTCATATGGAAAAAATAGGAAATGGAATCCATATCATATCATATATAAAATTTTATTCCAGGTGGATTAATACCCAAGTACCAAAAATCAAAGCTATAAAATGTTTAAAGAATAATATAAGGTTATGGTAAGATTCCTTAAATGAGATATTGTTAAATTGGATTAAATATTAACTAATTGGTATGGTCTAACTGTTGCATGCCACCCAAATTCTCATGTTGAGACCTAATCCTCAATGTGAGACTGGTGGGAGATGGGGTCTTTAACTCTGTCCTCATGATTCAGATTAGTGTCTTTATAAAAGAGGTTGCAGAGAGCTGCCTTGCTCCTTGCACCCTGCAAGGGCACAGTAAGAATGTGTCATCTACGAGGAATGGGCCCGCAGAAGGCACTAACTCTGCTGGCGCCTTGATTTTGGACCTGATCTTCATAGTTCTCCAGAACCAAGAGAAATAAATGTTTCTTGTTTACAGATAGAAGCAATCCAGTGTATGGTGTTTTTGTTATAGTAGCCCAAACAGAATAAGGCAAAATTAAAGGTGAATAAATTTGCCTACTAAAATTAGAATATCCATATCAAAAGATAACAGGAAAAAAGCAATTATCAATAGGAAGATTATACAAACATCTAAGAACTGGCTAGAATCTAGAGTTCTATAAATAAATCCAATAAAAATCAATAAAAGACCAATACTAAAAATAGGAAATTCCTGAAAGATCTTGAACAGATCTTTGAGGGGAAAAAACCTAAGTGGACAACATAGAAAAATGTTCATTCCTATTAGATTCAATGAAAGGCAATTCAAACTAAAATGAGGTGTATTTCACACTGAACACAGTTGGCCACAATGAAAAATTCTGACAGTATCAAGTGGTGACAAGGCTGAGGAACTATAGGCATCTTCAAATACTGCTGCTAGTGATGCCATGTATAGTATCACCAGTTTGGAAAACAAAGAGAAATGAGCAGGAATTTAACTGCTAGTATGAACTCAGTATTTTTAGAGCTTCAACCTTCACAAAAACACCAAGAGATTCATACAAGAATGCTTATAACAGCAATGTTTATAGTAGCAAAAATTTGGAAGTGACCCAAATTACAGTGTATTCAATAATTTGTGGTATAGGCAACAACAGTATATGCTACAACAGATGTACTCTCAAAACTCTCAAATTAGGTAACACTGCTGAAAAAAAAAAAAGCCATAAAAGTAAATACAGAATTCAATTTAAACCAAATCCCAAAGCATACATTTATAAAAACATATTATTCAGAAACACATATATAGAGTAAAACTGTAAAAAGAAAAATAAACATAAAAATTCAGGCCCATGGTTCCCTTTGCAGTAGGAGGGAAGGGGACTGTATACAAAGAAGCATATGAGTGGGCAGTGAGTACCTGAGTAGTCACTTTATCATGCCTTTGATACATTACGTATTTTCATAAATATTTTTATAGCCATGTGATGATAATTTTATGTGCCAATTTGGCTAGATGACAGTACCAGTTATTTAATCAAATACTTTACTATATATGAAGATATTTTGTAGATGTGCTTGACATCTACCACCAGCTGACTTTAAGTCTAACAGAAAACACTGGGTAATACCAGTGGCCCTCACTCAATCAGTTGAAAGGCCTTAATAGTGAAAACTAAAAAAGAAAAGTAGAAATTCTGCTTCAAGACTACCCACTAAATTCCTGTCTGGGTTTCCAATATATTGGTCTGCCCTACAAATTTCAGACTTGCTGGCCCCTACAATCAAGTGAGACAATTTCTATCTATTCACACACCATTTTCTATCTAAATCTGTTTATACACATTTATGCAGAATGCTATGGTTCTGTCTCTCTGGAGAACACTGACTGATACACTTTACTCAAGGAACACTCAGGCGTGCCAGTTTGATAACAAACCGAATATAAAATAGAGGGATTAAAGAGACAGTAATTATAATAATAATTATATTATTTATATTTTATTATACTACTTATATTTATATAATTGCAATTTATAATTATAAAAATAATTATAGGGGTTAGAATGAAAGCCAGTGCTGCCAAAAATAAGAGTCTGAACTGATTAAATGATTGCTTAGTGAGAAGGACAATGGTAGGTTTGATGGGCAAAATTTGATGATTAGTGAAACATACAAGTAAGTTAAAAATCTAACAAACCAGAAACAATGACAGAAATTCAGAATCTATGGAGAAGATTCATTAATTTCTATTAGCTAAAAAACAATATTTATTAACATATCACTGAGAACGTTTTTAAAAATTTTATGACACTTCTGCAAAATATAAAATTCATAGAAGGCTAGTTCTGCCACCTAGTGCCACAGAATGTTAGAATTGTTCCCATGTGCTCAAGGAAAATATGGAAAAGTTATGACATGATAAATATAAACATGGTATCCTCATTTTAGTCTATCTTTTTTCATTCATAGGTAAGATTAGGTTACATCCCCATGTATTCATTACAGTAATGAAGAATGGGGGCTGGGCGCCATGGCTCACATCTCTAATTCCAGCATTCTGGGAAGTTACAGTGGGTGGACTGCCTAAGCTCACAGGTTCGAGATCAGCCTGAGCCAGAGAGGACTTCATCTCTAAAGATAGCCAAGTGTTGTGGCAGGCACCAGTAATCCCAGGTACTTGGGAGGCTGAAGCAAAAGTATAGCTTGAGCCCTAGAGTTTGAGGTTGCTGTGAGCTAGGACGCCATAGCACCTTACCAAGGGCGACAAAGTGAGACTCTGTCTCCAGGGGTGGCGGGGGTAAATGAAGAATGAATGTGGCTATAATTAACCATACTTCTTAGTGAACTTATTATTGAAGGAAACCAAAAATATTTCACCCCAAAATATACTTCTTTGACATATTTTGAGACAGCTATTCAGAGGGGCTGCAGATAGAAATAGCCCTGCAGAGTTGCCTTTTGTGGAGGGTATCTGCATCTGTACAGAAAATCTACATTGGCAAATTGAACAGTCAGGCTTTCTCTAAGGTGCTCCTTTGTCAGAATCTAGGAGAGTTATCTACAGGTTAACTACAGGCTACCCATCTATGCTTTCTGAGGGCAGCTCTGAGATTACCTGAGATACCTTCACCTGTCTAATAGGACAGCCTCTGCTTGACATGCTTTCACTTAATCCTAGATGGCTTTCTTCCATCAGTTACAGAATAGTCCACTACTGTATAGATATCATACATTTTTTTATTTTTGGGAGACACAGTCTCACTTAGTCACCTTCAGTAGAGTGCTGTGGTGTTATAGCTCACAGCAACCTTAAACTTGGGCTCAAGTAGTTCTCTTACCTCAGCCACATGAGTATCTGGGACTATAGGTGCTCACCACAATGCCCAGCTACTGTCAGAGACGGGGGTCTTGCTCTTGCTCAGGCTGGTCTCAAACCTGTGAGCTTAGGCAAAATCCACCCACCCTGGCCTGCCAGAGTGCTAGGATTATAGGCATGAGCCACCACACTAGGCCTAGACATCATACTTTACATATAATTCAGCTACTCAGAGAGAGGGAGGAAGGATATAAAAGAAAAGGAAGGAAAACAGGAAGGATATAGAAAAAGGTAAAGAAAATAGGCATCCAGTTTTAAAAATTAACTTACATAATCAATAGGCCTTATTTTTCCAGTACTAGTAAATACCAAATAAAGTAACACAGGCAAATATTCACTTCCACAGAAGGAATGGCTGAACTCAAAAATGAAAACACAAGTGTTTCTTACCTTAGCAGTTTTAATATAGTGGCTCAAAACTTCTGCTCTGATTTTTAATGTTTGAGCATGAAGAATCTCTCTAACAACCCAAAAGCTTACCTGCAAATAAAAATTTTAAATAGACATCACTATGATTATTAATTTGTAGAAGTTAATATAAACTTTTAGGGGAAAGACCCTTCTAAGAGGATGCAATACAACCACAGTAAGGCAACACAGGCACTACACAAATGCAAATGTTTTTTAGCTATAGTTCATTAAGCTATTTTGGCAAAATAGACAAGCTCTAAAGTCAAACAGTGTAAGAGATGCTACTTACAGAATTATTTTTTTTGTGATTGTGTAATCCTTCATCACCCACTTACTTATATTGAGTAGAATCAGTTAAGTATAAAGATCTCAAGTATGGTTTTTTTGGTGTAAATAAAACAAAATATCATAAAGAAGAAAATACACTGCAAAAATTTTGTAATGCCTTCAAATCCAATGAAACCATATTCTTGGTTTCTTTAAAAAACATTAAAACCTCATTTATTCAAAGGTAGACTAGCTCTATAACATTAGTAAAATGCTCTACTCTGATAAAAACAGTTTACTTATCATTTGTGTGTGTGTATATATATATATATATATGACGTATACAGAATACATTAAAACAAATAAAAAATAAAAAAATTCATTTACTGTGAAAATAAAGTCAAAGCACAGTAAGTTGGCTCAAACTTATACAAATCTCAAACCAGGATGTGGTTACAAACCTTTATATTTGCTTCTTATTTCTTCATTTGTAATGAGAAATATTTCAGATTTTACTTGCGATTTTTATCTATGAAAATTATCTACATATGTACTATAAATACATATACTGTATTTATTTTACAAAGTCATCTCAATATTTTATATTGGGCTACTAGTGGCAATAATTCTCTCCAAATCTAGTAAGGTTTACTTCCAAAATAGATCAAAAGTTATATTATAGATATTTTAACAATAATCTTAGCACATATCAACAATAAATTTAAACTGCATGATCACTGACTTAATTAAATTTAAAATCAGACAAATGTGACGACAAATAGAATAGTGATTTTCATTTATTTGTTACAGAATTTTACTATGTTGCCCAGGCTAGTCTGGGCTCAAGCCATCCTCCGGCCTCAGCTTCCTGAGTATCAGGGACTACAGACACGTGCCACTACACATGGCCAAGATAAATCCTATGGTGATTTTAAAACACAAATTCTTTGTCACTCCTTTCATCAAGGGTGTATGCCACCCTTCATGGAATCTGGGCAGGCTTGCCACTGCTTTGATGAACAGAGTATTATTAGAGAAACTAATTTTTTTTTTTTTTTTTTGAGACAGCTCAAGCTGTCACCCTGGGTAGAATGCCATGGCATTACAGCTAACAGCAACCTCCAACTTCCTGGGCTCAAGCGATTCTCCTGCCTCTGCCTCCCTACTAGCTGGGATTACAGGTGCCCGCCACAATACCTGGCTATTTTTTGGTTGCAGCTGTCATTGTTGTTTGGTGGGCCAGGCTGGATTTGAACCCACCAGCTCAAATTGTATGTGGCTGGTGCCTTAGCCACTTGAGCCACAGGCTCCGAGCCAGAGAAACTAATGTTGACTTCCAGGATGGGGTCACAGAGGACCATGAAGCCTCTGCTCAAACATTCTCTCTAGAAGCCCTAGCTACCATGTAAAATGTCCAACCATCCTGAAACCACCATGCTGGACAAGATAAGTATAGTTGCACCCAATCAACAGTCACAGCTAAAGTTAACTATACCTGAGAGTACTGACCCAGAATAACCAACATCAAGACAAAATTTAATAAAATTACTGGATACAAGAAAAATCTTTTGGCCATCCAAACAAAAAGAAAAAATGATTTTTAAAGAAAAGAAAATTTAAGTATCATTAGACTTTTCAAAAGCAGAAAAAAACAGAGCAACATATCAAAGATCATCAAGGAAAGAAAATATGAGGAAGGATTTTTTACCCTGTAAAAGTGAAGAACACAGGTAACCTTGGCAACATGTAAGAACTCTGGAATTGGCTCAGCACCTGTACCTCAGTGAGTAGGGCCCCGGCCACATACACCAAAAGTGGAGGGTTTGAACCTGGCCCAGGCCTGCTAAACAATGACAAATGCAACCAAAAAACAGCTGGGTGTTGTGGCAGGCGCCTGTAGTCCCAGTTACTTGGGAGGCTGAGGCAAAAGAATCGCTTAAGTCCAAGAGTTTGAAGTTGCTGTGAGCTGTGACACCATTGCACTCTACCTAAGGGGACACCTTGAGACTCTGTCTCAAAAAAAAAAAAAAAATTGCCAAGACCAAACTACAGCATTAGGGATTCAAATTTAGTTGATAAAGCTATAAAAAAAAACCACAAAGAAGTGAGTACCGTAAAAGCCAGGACAGTGGTTACTTATGAAGGAAGAAGAGCGTGAACGGGATGAGATACGTGGAGGGGCTCTTAGGACAATTGGCAAATTTTTAACTTTAACCTAGATGGTGATTACACAGATATTTACCGGGCAATACTTCATTAAATCATATATTTGTTTTATTATTTTAAGGATCCATGTTTTATCATACAATACATAGTTTAAAGTAAGTAAGAAAAAGGAGAACTGGAAAAATGACTAGGGATATTTGGAAAGAGCAGAACTAAAAATGGAAAAAATGTGAAATTAAAGCTAAAAATTCTGGAGTTCTATTATGCAAAATAGTGACTACAAATTAAAATTGCTAAGAGTAGATTTTAAATATTCAAATCACAAAATATGTGAGGTGGCAGATACTAATTAGCTTAATCAGATGTTAATGATTCAACAATACATACATTTATCAAAAATCACATTCTACACAAAAAAATTTGTCCTTTTTCAACTAAGAACAATAACTAAGACGTGCTAGAATCAAAGCTCCATAAACCGTACATCTTACAAGGGTACATGTGACATTTACTAAATGTAGAATATAAATATCTTAACACAATAGCTAAGAAAATGCCATGAAGGCTATGTTAACCAGTTTGATGAATATTTCAAATTGTATATAAATCCAGCACATTGTACCCCATGACTGCATTAATGTACACAGCTATGATGTAATACAAAAAAAAATCCATAAAGGAAGTGATCTTATTTTTCTTGTTCACTGATATATTCCAACCATCTAGAACAGTGCCCAGGTCATGGTGGAGTTTAATAAATATTTATGAAATGAAGATGAAAGCTAAGTCATTTTATGCCAATTAGATTGCAAAGTTTGATGACAGCAGGTGTCAATAAGGATATGTGGTAATTACTATAAAACTCTTCTAACTCTGCTGATGGAAATGCAAACTGGTGTGACCATTCTGGGACAAAAAGTAAGACATTGTTTTGTAATAGTTTAACAACCTTATACTCTATATCTTAAATTTTACATTTAGGCATATATTTTTCAAACATTAAAAAGCATACAATGTTTTGGTTTCTTTTTTCTTTTTTCTTTTTTTTTTTTTTGAGACAGGAGCCTCAAGCTGTCCCCCTGGGTAGAGTGCCGTGGCATTACAGCTCACAGCAACCTCCAACTCCTGGGCTCAAGCGAGTCTCTTGCCTCC